CCCGTCTTCACTGTTCTGCTAATTAATTAAAAAGAAAACATGCTGTCAGAATGGCTTGACATCCACGATGAAAAGTTGTAGTTGCTGTATCCCTACCTCGTTTCCTTCTCCTTCGTCGTCTGTCCTGTCGAAGGCTAATAACATTAACATCACTGGTGCTTGCCAACTAACGATACTGCAAAAAAATTTCCGCAGGATATATCTCTGTCTCCACAAACGTTACATAGTTATTCCATTGCGGGTTTTAAACTATCTAGCTTGGTTGGGTGGGCAAGTGTCACTTCATTTGTTTTTGCTTTGTAACCTTACAAGATTCCCTACTCCTTTCTCACTTTAAGTAATTACGACCATGGAAAAACATATCCAACTTCCACCTAGCATATATTGTTGATCATTGCTTTTATTCCTCTTTCCACGCTGCTCATTGTTGTTGGTTGTCAAACTTTCCTTAGGATGGTGACCTAGCAACATAGTTTCAAGAGACTACTTCGATTCCTACGATATTCGATAAATCTATGAAGTTGACGATGCATATATATAGTTCTATCTATCGTTATTAGGAGTTTCGTTTTTTAAAAAATGAGAATTCTGGATCAAAAGCATATCATATCAACCTCGTTTTTACCCGGATATGATCCATAGTATGTAGGGTTTTCTGTTGTCAAATTAACTTTCCATTGATGAATAATGATCACATATATGGAATAGTGATGCTTACTCATGATACTATCCCGCCAAACTTATTCCCTCCAATCTTTCTGTGATTTAGTTTTTAGAGAAGCGAAGGCTCAAATTATGACTAGCTAGTGCAATATTTTGATGTCAATGTCATAATTGGGTCAAACGTAGTAGTGCGTTGTACAGGCAGAGTGGAATTTTCCCGTGAATGATATAACGTAACTAATATTGTAGGGTTTGACAAATTGCACCAGGAAGTAGTTGGAAGTTTGTAGAGGGATGGAATACGTGAAGAACTCAAAAGGGATGTTTCTGTTCCTCAGACTGATCATAACTCGAAGGAAGAAAGAAATGAAGATGCAGTGTTCGATTGATGTCCTTTCTTCTCCAATGATTCGAGTGCGTAGAGAGTGATGATGGTGGCAAAGGAAATGGTAAGGAAAGAAGCTCTGCACTGCTACACAAGGTTGAGATATTTAAGGATTTCTTCTCTTAAAAATGAGCCAATATAATAAGAAGTTCCACACCTTTAATCATATAGTTAACGATTAGATTATCTCCCTGTATGGAAATAGATTTTATTTTGTGACTAGTCATCACACACTTTTTTTTTTGGCAAAAGTGATTGGTCACTCTTCAAAACTCACAGAGTAAGTATTCTTCGGAAAGCCAATATCAAACTAGCTAAAAGAAAATAGCACTATAAGCTGAGCCTAACTTTCCAAAGTGTGATTAACTATTATATCCCAATAACTCGACCATTGCTGCACACATCCATGACAAACTTTTACTAGGGACTTTTGGAACAAAGCACCTAACCACTTACCTAGCATATGGTTGCAAACATTCAAGTACAAATTGTACTAGGTGGTGATGGCTCGCCTTAGGGGTGTTCAAATAGTTACCATGGTTATAACCAAACCAAATAAGACTAAATTTTATTAACCATGGAAGATAATATCATAACCAAACCGTCCAAACTAATACAACAACCAAATTAACCAAACTAAAGTTTAATCGGTTTGGTTAATTGGTTAACCAGATTAACCAATATAAAATCACATTATCATTGACGATGAAAATTTTTTCGGTTAATGCAACAATTCGCAATTTATATAATGAATAAAACATAACAACCAAAACGTAGTTATAGTTGACCCTTAACAAAAATACATGCAACTAAGACAATTATCTTACGATTAGTATAGAAGTATTTGTTAGTGTTGTGGTATATGATCTATGATTGAACCTCTCCCAACAACTCGAGTTATTGGGAGCAACTGGTTCTTGACATGGTATCAGATCCTTCTGTGACCGAGAGGTCTTGTGTTCGATTTGTGACCCCCATTTGTTAAGCACATGGTATTCTTGTCTTCAGACCTGTGCAAACTTCAAGCCCTTGTGAGTGTCTTTCGTTTGAGGGAGCAACTGGTAATTGATAGTATTCACCTAACAAAAATTTATGACAATGGTATGAGTTAATGAATTGTTGTGTTTGTGTAAATTGACTTAGTCTCTTAGCAATTATCTAAATTAGGCGTCCATATGTTGTGGTCTACATTTTACATGTATAAATATACACTATATGAGCAATATTGAGCTTTATATTTTATGATTATGAAAGGGATGAACGTTAAATCTTGAGTGGTTATGCAAAGTATTAAGTATGTGTATATAATATATGTTAGATATATGACTAATTACTTAACTGGTTATTTTGATTTGACTGGTTAGGAGTGTCTGAAACCAAACCAAACCACCTAAACCAAACAAGCTAAAAACTTTAACCAAACTAAATATCCAAATTAACCAAACCAAATTATCCAAATAGTACCGGTTAAAACGGTTACCATGGTAACCAAACCGTTTGAACACCCCTATAGCGCGCCTTGTCGCGGAGTAAAGATGACCTATGTGCATGTATTATGTGGTCCGTTATGGTGTTTTGTTAGTATTAATAGTTTAAAATTAATTTTTATTAACAATTTTGTTATTAATATGGACGACCATATGATATTGACGGAGAAGAGATATATGGCGGTCAACATCCAATTTTAATTTATTTTGAAAACTTTGGCTAGTAAATGATATTTACCTAAATCCGAGTAGACCCATTGATTATAGGTAGAGTATGTGTTACATATATATAGGTTTGGAAGTTTATAGATGAGTTTGGGTAGGGTTTGAATATTTACTTTCATAATCTAAATGTGTATGAGTTGGGTATGGATACCCATTTATTCGAGAGTGTTTTAATTGCACATAAAAAAATAAACGTATTTGTAGAACTTTAAAAGTTTAGGTATCAAAATGTAATACACAAAAAAATTTAGTTACTAAAATGTAATGTTCCATCAACATTTTGAGGACTTATAAGCAAAAAAAAAAAAAAATTATAAATCTAAAGATCTATTAAGTTTAGGTATAAAACTGTAATTTACATAGTTGAGACTTAATTCCTTTTATGGCAATGTATTTAAGATGATAGCTATTTACTTTGTAATAAAAAAATGAAAAATATTTATTTGATATGTGTAGATACCTAGCCAAATATTTCATATATAATTTTTGAAAGTTCTAGTTCGGGTGAAAAAGAAAAACTATAGTGAGAAGCAAAAGGAATACAAATTGGAACTCGCTTAAAATTTCACGCCCTCAAATTCCATAGTGAAAAATGACGAATTTCTAATAAGTAATAACCATATATATGTTTATAATTGTGATTAGAATATATAAAAATAGTATACTAATTAGTGTTAGACGAAGAAGGCAAAGAAAGAAATAAAGAAAGGGTTATGGAAGGCGAATGAAAAATGAAACGAAGAGGAAGTAGATGATGAAAAGGTTTTGATCAATTCTTGTAGTTGAACGTCAATAAAACAATCAACCATTATCACCGTAGCAATTTATTGACACTTGCTTATGTAGATGTCGCATATTTTGTTACATGTAGTTAGTAGAAGTTTGTTTAGTAACCCGTATATATACTAAATGAGTTTATAAATTCTCTCTTTTAATATTTTAGAGTCGTCTCTCTTGTATTGTACAAACTAAATTTATACTTTTATGTTATGGTGGATTGGATTCATGGATTGGTTCAAAAAGATTGGTGGATTGGATTCATGGACTCAAGCGAAATCTAAACACTGGACCGATATGTAAATTTAGATACCAAAACATAATTGTTCAATGATTTTATATTAAAATTAAATTTTGGGTATCAAAATATAAAATGTACATTATAGTGACTAAATTGTAATTTAATTAAATTTGAGGTATCAAAATGCAAATGATTAGACAACCGTAACTAGGCTTCACATTTATGTATATTAATATTTATTCTATATTTGCTATTTCATTATCTTTATTGCATCGATAGAACAAGAAAAATAAGTACACAATACATTACTTCTCTTTGAACCCCAAGATGGTTGTCATGTCGGTTGCATGCCACCCGGTTGAACCTGGTTCAACATGTGCTGGTCATGAAATCGACATGACAACATCGATATGATCGGTATGATCGACTTACGCATTCTAATCAAAATGACATCACTTGAATGAATTTAATTAATAAAATAAATAATATATTATTTATTTTATGAATTTAATAGTTAAAATTTGATGATATTTGTTGGATTGTAACTAAGTTGTCAACGAATATATTTTATATATTATTAAATACATTGGATATTAATTGTTTTCACATTTTTTTTAAACCGACATGAACCGGCACATACTGATTCTACTACCGGTCGTACCATTCCACTTGTCAAACTGGCACAACAATATAAACCGGTTTGACAACCTTTACCCAAACGAAAGTAGGGTAGGAAAGTAGGAATATAGCTTTGATGCCTAGTAGACTAGTAGTACTAGCTAGTAGCTGGACGAGTAATTCATTTCAAATCTATCTCTGCACATCTCACTTTTACGTGATTGAAAGTTTGTGCGCTTGCAGCTGTTAACATTTGGCCAAGTCATGAAATCACCACTTCCACCGAGAAATTTTACAATGCTATATAGTATTGGTGCTATAGGATTTTGCCTTTATTGTACAACTTAAAATTGTACATTTACGTTATGGTACAACTTCAGATTGTACCTATACTTTTTGTACAAATTCTTTTATGGTACAACTCGAACTTGTACTTTTATGTGATGGTACAACTTCAAGTTATAAAGTTGTACCATAACATAATTGTACAAATTGCTTTATGGTACGACCTAAACTTATACATTTAATGTTATGGTACAACTTTAAGTTGTACATTAAAACACCAATACTATACTATATAGCATAGTAGAAGTGCTCCACTTCCACCACCTTTCCCCTTCCCTATATAAATCACGTCACATGTTGCCCTTAATTTCTTGCATGTCCTCATTTCCATTCCAAACTCTTCTCCAGCAAAAACTATACCTCCTCCTTTTCTCTTTGTTCCAAAATGATGCCCCCCGCCGACCACGAAATGACCCTTAACCCCGCCGGCAATGTTGGTCCGATCTCCGCTAACAACATCACCCGTCCAACCGGCCGGTCCGATCCTGTCTTGGTCCATGCCGAACCGCTCCCCAACCCATCTAGCAACCACATTCAACAACAAACCAACTCCTTACGAGATCCCGACCAAACACAACCAAACAAACCAACCACCTTTGCCGCACTGCATCAATTCTTACGTCCTGTAACAGTTAAGGTAAACTCGTAACCACAAAAAAAGTAGAACTAGCGATATCACCTTTATATAAAAAAAAATTAATATAAACCGTGTTTAACTGATTCTTCTAATCTTTTCTTCCTTGTGCAGTTTGAAGATGTTGCATATAGTATCAGCTTGCCGTCGAAATCCACCTCGATCAGTACTTGCTTACTCGATAAAACCAAACCGGAACCGGTCCGACCGATCCTCAACGGTGTAACCGGCACGGTCCGACCGGGCGAGCTGCTCGCAATGCTCGGCCCGTCGGGCAGCGGGAAGACGACCCTTCTGACCGCTCTCGCCGGACGGCTCCCGGGAAAAATTTCCGGCGGGACCATAACCTACAACGCCTCCCCCTTCTCCAGCTCGATGAAGCGTCGGACCGGGTTCGTAACCCAGGACGACGTCCTGTACCCGCACCTCACCGTGCTCGAGACGCTGACGTACGCCGCCCTGCTCCGGTTGCCGAAAACCCTGACTAGGGAGGAGAAGGCGGCGCAGGCGGAGGCCGTGGCGGCGGAGCTCGGGCTGGACCGCTGCCGGGACACGATGGTTGGTCGGGTTTCGGGCGGGGAGAGGAAGCGGGTGAGTATCGGTCAGGAAATGCTGGTCAACCCGAGTCTGTTGTTGCTAGATGAGCCCACTTCTGGGCTGGACTCGACGACGGCCCAGCGCATCATGTGGGCTTTAAAGGCCCAGGCCCGCGGCGGGCGGACGGTGGTCACCACGATCCACCAGCCGTCGAGCAGGATGTACGGGATGTTTGACAAGGTCGTGGTGCTGTGCGACGGGTGGTCGATCTACAGCGGGCGGGCGGATCGGGTCGCAGAGTACTTCGGGTCGGTCGGGTTTGGCCCGGGGTTTGGGAACCCGGCTGATTTCCTTCTCGATCTTGCCAATGGTAAGTGAGAGAGAGCTGTTTACTGTTTTAGTGTTTCTGTCTATCTTTTTCGTAAATGGTGAAAGCTCTGTTTACCCATTTCTATTTCGGACCCGAAAGTTTTGCGCATTGATGCTTAAAGTGGTAAAGTTTGCTTTCTTTACGTTGCGCTGGAATTTTGCTGGGGAGGAAAGTAGTTGCTGTGTCAAATCATTTGGTCGGCTCACTTTCTTAAGATGATTTACAAAAGAAGTTTAGGGAGATAATGGACGGCAATTTCAGAGATATTGTTTTGGTTACTTCTCTACTGTAAACTCTTTTACGAGACCAACTACTATGGTAGTATGGTACCAAGCATCGGTGTTTTTAGATACAAATTGAACTTAAGTACAAATTTAGTTTGTACAATTAAGAAACTTGTAAAAAATGTATAAATACAAACTGATTTTGTACAATACACATTTAGTTTGTAGGATAAATACAATTTAATCTCTCAATCTTTTCAAAATTATTAGCTAAATCTTTTGTAGCGCCTCAAAACACTAGTCATTTGTTTGTTACTGTTAGTAATTTTGTAACTCTTTTTCTCAGTGAAAATACTAAAATTATGGAATGTTGACCGCCACATGTCTCTTTCAAGTCAATATCATGTTGCCAAGTCAATATTACTAACAAAACTTCTAACGCGAACTTAACATTTGACTAATATTTTGTATTTTGAACGATTTGACTAACAAGTTGTATCTACCCTAATTTGTACTATAAAAGAATTTGTACGAAAATGTATAGGTGCTAATTGAGTTGTACCATAACGTTAAGCGTACAAGTTCAGTTTATTCAATAAAGTAATTTGTAGGAAAGAAGTATAAGTATAAAGTTATAAACTGAACTTTGCACTATAACATTAAAGATTTTTTACCCTCTCACTTACATTCTTACTGTGAAAAAGGTGACTGTTCCTTCGTTGGGAACTGGAAAGTAATGGATTATCAGCAGGATACACTACTTGAAGTAGACGAAATTTGATTCATGCATGGATGGACAAAGACTATAAGAGGATGAAAATGAAAACTGAAAATGAAAGCAGGGATCATACAAAACATGGGAGCGTGATTAGGAAATGTCGATGTGGACGCAGTAACAACAGGAACATCTGTAGCTGTTGTAAAAGTTGCCCTGTGATCACAAGTGTTGTGGATGCCTTGATTACTAGGAGAAGGAGAAAGTGGGCAGATTCAGTTTTCTCATTAGTAATTTCCCAGCAGTAACTGTCTGAGTGTCAACTTCATTCACACTTTGCACGGTTGCATTAATTTCCAACTTGTTGCAATCAATGTTCCAAGCATCAATCAAGCCTCTGTTTTTTTTTCTACCTGTAGGTATAGTTCCTGACGCGAAGCAGGACGATTCATCAGAGTTTCACCACATGCCACCAGACCACCACGAAGATCAGAACAAGATCAAACAATCTCTGGTTTCGTCTTACAGGAAGAATTTGTACCCTGCACTGAAATCCGAAACCCGCTCCACTTCTCAGGATTCCGCTCTGTTTCCAGCCTCAGGGGCACCATCACCAAGAACTAGTAAGCAGAATAACATAGACGAAAAAATTCCACCGGTTTTTTCATAAACTTCTGTGTTCCTTTTTTTCCCTGAATGTTTGTTGAATTTCAGGGGCCGATGAGTATCAATGGACGGCGACCTGGTTGCAGCAGTTTCAGGTCTTGTTCAGAAGAGGACTACAAGAAAGGAAACACGAATCGTACTCCGGGCTAAGGATCTTCCAAGTCATGTCTGTTTCACTACTCTCAGGCCTCCTGTGGTGGCACTCTGACACCTCACATATACAAGATCAGGTCAGCTACACACTATAATCAAGTCTCAATATTGCACAATTGGCCACTAAACTATGAGCCATTTTATGTTCCAACAAAGTGATGAATGGTAACATCAACTAATCAAATCCCCCTGCTAACTGCAGGTGGGACTCCTCTTCTTCTTCTCAATCTTCTGGGGATTCTTCCCAATGTTCAACGCCATATTCACATTCCCACAAGAGCGACCGATGCTAGTGAAGGAACGTTCTTCAGGAATGTACCGACTTTCCTCCTACTACTTCGCCAGGATGGCAGGGGACCTGCCCATGGAGCTTGTCCTGCCTACCCTTTTCGTCGCAGTAACGTACTGGATGGGAGGCCTGAAGCCATCGCTGCTCGCATTCGTCCTGACCCTCTTCGTAATCCTGCTCAACGTGCTGGTTTCGCAAGGTTTAGGGCTGGCGATCGGAGCGATTGTGATGGAAGTCAAGCAGGCGACGGTACTGTCATCCGTGATGATGCTGGTGTTTCTGCTGGCGGGAGGGTACTACATTCAGCACATCCCGCCTTTCGTTTCGTGGATCAAGTACGTCTCGTTCAGCCATTACTGTTACAAGCTGATGGTGAGGGTTCAGTATTCGGCGGACGAGGTGTATGAATGTGAGCCTGGAGCAGGGAGGTATTGTAGAGTGATGGAGTTTGATGCAATTAGGTGTCTTGAATTGGGTGATCATGTGTGGTGGGATGTGGCTGCTTTGGGGGTAATGTTGGTAGGGTACAGAGTTCTGGCTTATGTTGCTCTGAGGATGAGGTAGCCTGAATGATGAGAATTAAGCAAAGGGTATGTGAAATTGTGATTGTGATTGATTCATGTGATGTATGGTTCTTTAATTTTGTAGAGAAGTTGGAAGAAAGTAGTGGTGTTGAAGAAGATTTGATTAGAAATTGTGTTGTGTTGTTCAATGGAAACATGTAACTTATGCTAATTGTAATTGTGATTCTTGATACGTAAAACGAAACTATAACTAATTGGCTGTATAATCATATCGAACACTTGAGTCATTATATTAAAATTAGTACAATGAAATAGCACATTGTACCGATTTTATTGCTAATCGGGGGCATGTTGCACCATTGGGGTTACATATGTTTTCTGCTGCCGATCCTATATTTTGCAACTGGCTTTTGTACGATGTTAAGGGCTCTCTGAGTCCCGGGTGGTTTTGAATGAAAGGTAGGGTGCGAATGCATTTATTTGATAAAAAAAAAATCGGTACAATGAAGACGAATATGGCAGTTGATACGAGAGGTTCTTACTTGGTTGTTCTCTGGCAGCACTATTGGTTGGCAGAAAAATTCTCAACTGGACCCTAGGACAAATGTTCCAAGCTGTCTTAGGGCAGTCACCTCAAAATAGGAATGATAATTGAATCTAAACCCACAGGTACTTAATTCGACTCAACCAGATCAAAGCGGGTAAAACTTAGTGTTGACGGGTTTTAGGTCGGGTGTGGGTTTTACCCGCTTATGAAATTGTTGATTAGGTCAAGGTATGCGGTACCCAATATTTCACTCTGGGTACCGTAGAATTCTCGTAAATGTTAGTAGTATTTATGAAACTTATTATTTTAGAATTTTTTTGAAAACATTACGATATGAGCATTTGAAGAAATAATATATGACTATGTTCGTTAAACTTTGGGTATTCATGCACCCGCGAGTACCCAATGGATTGGATTTCCACTTTTAAAATACAACGAATATTTTACCCGAGCTTTTCATATGAGTGCGCCCATTGACTTATACTTGGATTTTGACAAACCCAACCCAACCCGACCTATTATTATCCCTACATCAAACTTCTCAGACTTAACTTTGGTCGAGGCTTCTAAATGGGTCTTGGGCCTTACCAAGCCCATCAAACTCTATGGGCCTCTACCGTCTTGAGTCTTGCCCCTCTATCATTTCCCAATAATCACGGGCATTGTTATTCGTCGCCCTAAAATGTCTTGTTCGTCGCCCTAACTTTTACCAAAATGACTCAAATATCCTTAGTGCAATATGTGTTACAAACCCAGCCAGCTATACATACGCGGTCGCGGGCGGTGACCTTTCTTTCTCCGCCAGCCGCGCTCTTCCTCACCTCCGCCAAAAAACTAAGAATCGAAACACAAAATTACAGTCAGAAACCTAAATTGCAAAAATGGTAGAAAGCCGTCGAAATGATGATCTTGATGCCTTGGATGATATGGATCAAGGAGAGCAACTAAACACACAATATCTGATTCTAGCTTAGATTGACAATACAAGTGGCAGTCAGCCAACTGCAATTCACCTCTTCTCCCCTTCTCTCCCTTCTCTCGCCGTCGAAACTTCGGCCGACCAAGTATCGGACAAAATCAACTTGGAATCCGTCCTAGTCTCCACCCGCCAAGTATTGGACAAAATCAACTTGAGGTGGGCAGCTGCCAACGAGAAGAGTCCAACAACAGTGCCCACAGGACAGTGAGCTCGACGACGACTGGGCATGGTAAGGAATTGTTTGTTTAAGGTTTTGGTTAGAAATTGGGGGTAAATATGTCAATTTAATGCATTTTAGGGCGACAAAATTTAAATTTTAGGACGACGATTAGCGGTTCGGATAATCACAACTATTTGAACTAAGAACTATCGGGTAAATTGCAATGTTGGTCACTGTAATTACTAAAAACGTTTATGTTTTGTCACTAAAAATATTTAATTTTATTCGTGGTCACCAAAATTAGTAAAACATTTCAACTTTGGTCACTTTCCGTCTAACTCCGTTAACTTTTGCTTATTTGGCAGTCAACTCTTATAGTTTTCCTATAAAAAAAACTCTTATAGTTGGCCGTTAAATATGTGACATGTCAATTGAAAAATAATAAAATAAATAATATTTATTATTTTAAAATTTCCACCTCATTTCTCCTATTAAAAAATAAAAAATAATTTTTTTTTATAATTCAACAAACCCTAACTGTCTTCTCTTGCATTCCCCCACCGCCGCTCTCAATCTCTCTACTCGCCGCCGCCGCGTCCCCTATAGCCTGCTTAGACGCTCCCTCCGATTCACCTCTCTCTCTCTCCTCTCTGCTCGCAGTCGTCGTTCACTCTTTTGCGGGCAAGATTGTCGTCGACTCTTCCAAATTCGAAGTTGTCGCCACTCTCTCCTGGTAAACGTAACGGCCGACGGCAATCAAGGTTATATGCGTGTCCTGACCTTCGGACTCATGAGTGGAGCGGAACTCGGCGGCGGAGAAAACAGACGAGGCGAGGAGGAATCGGGAGGACAGAGGAGGAGGATTCCCCATTTGCTCGATCCTACTTGACAGAGGAAGCAGAGGCCACGACGATATTGAAGGGAATTAGGAGGAGGCGACGACTAGAGGATATACACCTTTAAACGTGGAGAGTGACTGCAAATGTCTAATTGAGGAACTGGAGAAGGAGGAAAGCGGAAGGTTTGGGGTGGGGTGATCAGTGATTTGTGGACAGATTCTCCAGGACAAGAAATCAATGGAGGAAGCCCACTTGTATGGTGATAATGAAGAACTCTAATGTAGGCTTTGCACGCCAGATGTAATTTGAAAATGAGGTGGGAATTTTTAAAATAAAAATTTAATTATTTTATTAATTTCTAATTGTCATGTCACATATTTAACGGTCAACTATAAAAGTTGAATGTCACATAGGTAAAAGTTAACGGAGTTGGACGGAGAGTGATCAAATTGGAAATGTTTTACTAATTTTAGTGACTATGAATGAAATTAAATATTTTTACTGACCAACCATAAACATTTTTAGTAAACCCAATGACCAACATTGCAAAATCACATCATCTTTATCTCCACATGATACACCATATCTCTTGAAAGGATTAAAAGTGAGCATATTTACCCGTTCCTCCAAATTTTGTTACCGAATATTTAACTGATCCACTGTGCTTGCTTTTTCACTTTGGCAAGTAGGGGAAATGAGTAGGGAGTTTTGCATCTGATTCGACTGTGGATTGTGGAAGGCACAAATTTGTAGCAAACATCATATATTCATATTCCTTTTATACATGTAGAAGCTTGCACCATATGCGCTCTCCGAGGAACTGTCAGAAGAATAACAGTGACGAATAAATTTACTACCGAATTCCACAAATTATTCCCAAAGCATGACTAATTGTTTTACTATAAATGTGAGCTGGTAATCTGGCAACATGAATCCTAAGTTTTAGTGGTGGGTGAAAGTTGAAACCGATTTAATACTAAAATGTGTCGTAGCAAGGATTTTGTTTAAGTTGAGTTTGCCGTAAGAAAAAATATACATAAATTTTTAATATTGTAAAACATTTTTTAATGCATTTATCATACAAACGGTACAAAATCTAACCGCATTATTTTCATTAAAAATTCATTGTTTTTCATTCATGCATGAATAGAAGGATCTAAAATAAGGATGTGCAACCCATAGAGATGTGCGTTATTTTCATTTCAAAATTCATTCATAACTTTGTATTTGATATTGAAGTGTATATTCTTCTTTCTTTATGTACTTATTTTCATACTGTACCCCATTTTTCAAATTCATTTATCATACAAACTATAAATAGCACATGTGTGACCGCAATATTTTAATTGAACATTCATTTATAACTTCGTTACTCATTTGACGTTGAAGTGTGTTCTTCTAAATGTACGTGCCCGATATTATTCCTTAAGAAAGCTACGTAGCTACCAAAGTTGGCTGAATAATTAATTAGCATCAGATGCAGCTCGTATACCTCTATATATATTATCTCTAGAGAAATGCCCTACTTTAGGTTAGCCATTTGATGACATAATAGTTATACACACGGACTGAAAATTCTGATTCCTTGCCCACACGCATTCACTTTACGGCCAAAACCATGTGCTATAAATAGAGACCCAGGAACAAAGGTTGTTGAGCAAACAGAATAACACACACTAGAAAATATCAAGGAATATATATGGCGTCACTCAAAGCTGAGAAGCCTCAAGCCACCGGCGCCGGCACAGCGGCGCCCAAGAAGCAGCCGCAGAAGAAGGCTCCGAAAGCTGCAACGACGGCCTCCAAGGCTCCTCCTAAGAGGGAGCCCAGGAAGAAGGCGGCGGCAGCGAGTAAGCCTGCCGCCGCCGCCGCGAAATGATGACGATCGAGAAGTGGAAGATCGAAGAAGCTTGACCTAAGCATAGGCATCAAGTTTCACTGCATAATAATGTCATAGTAATTATGTTATGTGTCGAATGCCTTCAAGAAAGAAGTCTGGGGTTTGGGATTTGTAATGAATCTACTGATCATGATCATCTATCTATTTGTGTTATTCTGTGCATAAAGGCGCGCGGAGCCTGTAAAAAATAAAAAGACTGTACTTGTGTGGTTTCTTGGTTATCAACTTTTATTGTAGTTGAGTGAACTTTCAATGTTCTTGAATGATTTAAGAAACTTTACACTACATAAAAAACTAGCTAGCTTTTGTAACCGAAACCTTACAACCAAATTAAATTTGGTTGCGAAAACGCTAGTATATACGACCAATTGCATTTTGGTAGTTAATACATTCAGGAATTAGTTTTCTATGAAAATAAAAAACTATTGGCAACCAAATAAAACTTTTGTTTTTTTTTTTTTGAATGATGGTGATATAGGTTTATTTATTTATGATTAGGTACTACTTAAGGATTATTATAATTACCACCAAATAAAACTTTGAGAAGATCAAATAATTTGGATCAAATAATTTGGTAGCAAAATTATTTATAGTACGATATAATGTTGGTAGCAAAATGATTATTACTTTTTCCAATCAAATAATTTGGTACCATAATGCTATTTACTTTCTCCAACGAAATATAATTGGTTATAATTTAAAGAAAAAATTTGAAAAACCAAATTATATCTTGCAAGTCAATGAGGGAGAGAGTGACACAGTCACATAGCTCTGGTGCTGCCTGATTCAATGTTTTCTTCCCGATCGATTCCTTTTATTGTAAGAAACTTTAAAGTTCATTCATGCAGAGTATTACTATAGGATGGTTGGATGATTCATGTTTTCCATTTAAATATTTCGATGTTTGAATTGATATGGTCGGTTTATGGAATGGAAGAATGTGTCCTTTTGGAAAGTTAGTTTTTATTGCAAACAAGTAATATTTTGTTCTGGTTTGATATTCCGCGAACATAACCTCCATTTTATAGTCAATTTCACAAATCAATCAGTGATTCAATCAAGGTTGTCAATCCGTAACGTCGATTGTTACAATAGCTCTTGCTCAGAGATTATTAGGTGTGCTTCCATTATCCCTTCGACATATATATTCAAACCACAAAGTACTCACTTCCCCTCTCTGAATTTTAACCGATAAAATATCAGAGAGCAGAACGACGACGACAACCCTTAATACATGAAATTTACGTAACACAATCGTCTTTCATCTTAATTTACTAGGTTGCTTAGTTACGTTAACCATGAGCTAGCTCCTCACTTCTGCTCCTCTAGGTGCTTATTAGTTCTTTGCTGCCTTCCCTCCTTTCCCCTGCAAAAAAGAAGAAAGAAAAAAAAAAACAATTCAGAAAAACACTGATTCGCCGAGTTATAACACTTAACTACATTAAGAAACCAACATATGCATGTATTTTTGTTACCTTCTTCTTAGTTCCTTGAGCCAGAGGCTTTTGTGCAGCAGCAGCAGAACCCTTCTTGGCCTTTGAACCAGCGGATGACTTTGACTTGGACTTGGAGGCGGCTCCATCACCTCCGGCCTTGGTTGGTGTCGTCTCCTTCTTAACCTGGCCGAAGAGCTGCGTGCCAATGGCGGGTTTCTCAACTTTTAGTGATGCCATTTGTGGGTTTGAAGAGAAACACGAATTGAATATTGTACGTGTTGATGTCTAGTATGCCGATCGATCGATCGATGTCTTTAATTTGTGTGAGCTCTGCTAGACATGGTGGGTTTATATAGGAACGTAGGTACGGTAGATGATTGAGGAATGAGAATCAATCCAAAGATATGGTGGTGTTGGGCAGAAGATTGAATTGATAACCAGGAATCGAATAATAAACTAGCTAGCTACTTGGGATGTCACTTGGACGGTAAAATACTATTAGTATTCGGTGCTCTTTATATATATGGAATTCGTTTTAGATGGTAATATTGGTGGTGGGAAAAAATTGCGGGCAGGATCCGGTGCTTAAGTGTAGAAGTTTAAGCATATACTTAAAGCATTACTATTCGCTTATAGGAATTTAGTTAGTTTATGGAAGGTAAGTGGTTAATAGGCTATTAAGGGTAAATGGGGGTATTATCAGAAAATAATTAATGTCATTAATAATTAAAACAATTGTTCTCTTTCCAAAAATCATAATTAAATGAAAATTCGGAACTATTTAATTAAATATTACTATCTAATATTTATTGAAATTTTAAAGTTATAAATTTTGAAATTGGAATCCGAATTTAATATTTAAGAATTTAAAAATGGAAAATCCAAATAAATAATCTCACACCCCCTACTTGTAGCGACCTCCAGCGTTATTAATGTTTTCAATGATATTATTAATGTTTATGACATGAATTATAATTGATATACTCCATCATTATCAACTATTTCAATATACTTATCAATGCTTTATGAATTATAATTGGTGACGATGACTTGCCGATCCTCCTCGAAGTCGGTCGCCGTGGCAAGCTTGGATAGAGCGTCCGCGTGGGCGTTCTCCTCCCTTGGTACATGTATGAATTCCACCTCCTTAAACCATGCCCCTTTTGCCTTCACCATGGTAACGTAGGTACTCAGGGCCTCCTCCTTAACTTCGTATACGCCGTTCAGCTGATTTACCACCAACGCAGAGTCCGAGCGGAGCTGAACCTTTTGGGCGCCGAGCTCCCGAGCTGTGTGGAGCCCGGCAATCACCGCTTCGTATTCCGCCGCGTTATTGGTCTTCAGGGTTGCGAAACGGAGGGCCAACTCATGCGTCGCCCCCAAGGGGCTCACGACTACCACTCCAGCCCCGGCGCCTGACTTGCTTGCTGCGCCGTCCACATAGACCTGCCAGGCTTCTTCCGCCCCGTTTCCCGCACTTATCACCCCCTCGGCCACAAACTCCGCCAACACTTGCGCCTTTATCGCTGGGCGGGGCGCATAGCTTATATTGTACTCGCTCAGTTGTACTGCCCACTTAACCATGCGCCCGGCCACATCCATGGACCCCAGTGTGCTCGTCAGCGGCAAATTCGTTAGGATCGTCACGGGGTGAGCTTGGAAGTAGGGCCGCAGCTTTTCCGCCGCAGTGACCACGGCTAGACCGGCTTTCTCAATGGGCGCATAACGGGTCTCGGCCCCCGCCATCACCTTGCTCACGTAGTACACCGGCCTATCCTCCCCACTTTCCACATCCTTGGAGACAAGCACCGCACTGACCGCCATTTTTGACACCGCAATATACAAGTAAAGCATTTCGCCCCTCTTCGGGGCGGTCATCACAGTAGGGGCCATTAGAAGGGTCTTTAGCTGCTCGAACGCCTCGTCGCACTCTTCCGTCCACTTGAACCGGGCGGCCTTCCTTAGTACTCGAAAGAAAGGGGCGCCCTTATCCGCTGAGCGAGGTATGAAGCGCCCCAAGGCGGCTAGTCGTCCGTTCAGACTTTGCACCTCGTTCGGTGTGCGGGGGGGTTGAAGGCGCCTTATTGCCTCCACTTGCCTGGGGTTGGCTTCGATGCCACGCTTGGTGATCATGAATCCCAAGAATTTTCCTGCTTCCGCCCCAAACACGCACTTCAGGGGATTGAGGCGCAGGTCATGGGCGCGGAGCGCTTGAAACGTCTCCCGCAAGTCTTCCAAGTGATCCCCTCTTCGCTTGCTCTTCACCACCAAGTCGTCCACGTACGCCTCCACATTTCGTCCAATCTGATGCTGAAAAACTTTGTTCACCATGCGCTGGTATGTGGCCCCGGCATTCCTCAGCCCAAAGGACATCACCCTTTAGCGGAAGTTGCCAAACGGAGTCATGAATGCCGTCTTATCCCTGTCCTCTTCACACATGGGTATTTGATGGTAGCCTGAGAACATATCCAGGAAACTGAGCGCCTCGTGGTATGCTGTCGCATCCACTAACTGATCAATTCTGGGCATTGGGTATGCGTCCGAGGGGCACACTCGGTTTAGGCTGGTATAATCTACGCACATCCTCCATTCCCCCGACGCCTTGGGCACCAGCACTACATTGGACAGCCAAGTGATGTGCTTAGCTTCTTCCACAAACCCTGCTTCTCGCAACTTCCCTACTTCCTTTCTAAGCGCTTCCTCCTTCTCCAGCGAGATCGGGCGCCTTTTCTGCTGAACGGGGCGCACGCCTTTTGCTATGGCAAGCCGATGCTCCGCAACTTCTGCTTTCACACCAGGCATCTCCTTCGCGCTCCATGCGACAAATCTGCAAATTCCCTCAAAAGACCAACTAACGGACCCAATTCTTCTCCCGTCGTATGTGTTGAAACACGAACGCATCTGTCAGGACGTAGGTCATCCAAAGGCACATGTATCTCTTCATCCGCTGCTTCGGCCCTTGGCAAGTCCTCGGGCCTCGTGTCAATGTTGTACATCCGGCTTCTTTTGGCGAGGCGTGCTTCCGCAGAGGCCTCGCCCCTTGATATCCCGATGCCCTCCAGGGTGACAAATTTTAGGACTTGGTGGCAGGAGGAGGCAACGCCGTTGAAGAGTGCCAGCAAGGGACGCCCCAAGATTGCATTGTATGGCGATGGGCAGTCGACTATGCCAAAGTCCACCGTGTGCGTGACACAAAGCGTCTCATCACCCAAGGTTACGGGAAGCCGCACGCGCCCGATAACCTGGGCAGGCGCCCCAGAGAACCCAAATTAGCATCGTGTCCGCCGGCGTCACCATGCTGGGTGCCAATTGCATTTTCTCAAACGTGGAAAGAAACAACACGTCCATGGAACTTCCAGTGTCGACCAGCATCCTTTTAACCTCGCAACCTGCCACTACGCCCCGGATTTCCAGCGCCTCCGTGGAAGGCGTTCGGCATGCCTCTTCAGGCACCTCATTGAAATGTATTTGAATGGCCTTACGCGCGCTCGCGGTAGCGGACTTCAGGCGCCTTCCTTCCTCCAACTTCTGCCTCAAGTCTATGGAGCCAGTGATGGTCTCAATGGTCAACCTCACACGGCTTGGGTTCCCCTCTTGTTCTACGTTGAATGAGGGCGGGGGTAGGGTAGCCCCTCCCTTGGGAGGGTCGTTCTCCGCCTCCGGCTTCTCGTCAGGCGCCTTTACTTGTGCCTCTCGCGCAACGAACGTCCTTTGCGCTCGGTCATCCTTTTTCACAAAGTCGTTCAGCATGCCCCTATCCACCAGTCCCTGTATCTCGGACTTCAGCTGATAGCAATCCGCGGTGTGGTGCCCCCGCTCCCTGTGGAACTCGCAGTATCTGTCTAAATTCTGCTCATTCGGGCGCCCCCTCATGGGGCCAGGCCACCTCAGGTGGTAACCCTTATCCTTCGCATATTGCAACACGTTTTTCAACGTGTCGTTTAGCTCGGTGAAACTCCCCGCACTCTTCGGCACAGGCCTCTGAGTCTCCATCCTGCGCCCTTGGAACGGCATACTGGGCGCCGCCATTGGCAGGCGGGGCGCCGGCAGTCGGTAGCCCTCTCCTTCCTCCGCCTTGTTTTTGCGCCTGTCAAATCTTCGAGCTGCAAGCGTCTCCTCCAACATGATGACCTTCTGCACTCTTCTATCGAGGTCCTCAGTGAACGTCACGTCCCTCTTGGAAAGCGCCCGGCACAACTCTTCACTAGTCGTACACTCATCCAGGCAACACCCCAAGACGGGAGGCTTGACATCCTTTACCGCCATCCATCGTTCATAAAAGTCACGAAGCGACTCGTTTTCCCTTTGACGTACCTTGAACAAGGCGCTTATCGTAAGGGTCCTGCGCTTCCGACTAGCGAACTTCGACAGGAACAAGGAAGCGAAGTGTTCAAAACAATCGATCCGTCCCTCCTCTAGTTGGTGGTACCAGTCCAACACCACCCCTGTAAACGTGGAGGGGAACGCCCGACACATCGTGGCGTCCGAGCTGCTATACAGCTGCATCTTTGTGAAATAATTGTTCAAGTGGTCTTCTGGGTCGGTCGTCCCATCATAACTTGGTAATGCCGGTATGACCGAGCTCGGTGTCTCAGCGAGAACGCTCCTGGCCAAGGGCTGTCGAATTCCCCAACCTCTTCCTGCACGTCTCTGCGCCCATCCGTTGTAGTCGTCATAATCTGATTCCAAGTGTCTGGTCAGGTGCCCCATCTCTTCAGTGCGCCTCATTAGGCTGGACGCCCCCTCCCCTTCTTCGTCTCGCTCCTTTCTCTTCGCGCCAGGCGTGTTCGGGTCGCCTCCGTTCCTCTTGAGCGCCTCAACCTCCTTTTTCAACATTTCGAGCGCGTGATCTTGGCTCTCGATGATCTGAAGTAACTCCTCTTTTGTGAGCGGGGCGCCCTCTGCCTGTGCGTTCTCGTCCTTCCTCGGACTCCCTTTCCCATCATGCTCCTCCGCCTCTTTCGTCATTTCCGTCCCCTGATCTTGAGGCTCAGCTCCTCCATCCTCTCCTAACCCTCCAATCTCCATACCCCTTGGTTGTTACGCCCCCCTTCCTGGCGCGCCAATTGTTGATGCCTGGGAACTTCCTTCGTGCGCCTAGCTCTCCTACCTTACCTGCCCTCTTGCGCCTTGACTCTCCTGCACCCACACAAGCACCTAGCGGACCGAATTGGCCCGTTAGCACTCCGACGCTCAAGTAAGAACCTACTCTTTAGAGAGAGAAGTGTGGGAAAAGTTATAGTCAGAGAAGCAAAACTGAGTAAATGAGGTTCACCTACTCGACTATTTATACCTGAGGCGAGATCGACCGGTACACGTCGCTCTCGCCCTGTGTCAGACCCGCCATAAATGCATCGTACACCCCTGGCTCATGCGCCTCTACCATCTGGCACGTTGGTCAGAGATCGAAGGCGCATGACATCATCTCTTCAGCTTTTCGTACACTTCCGACCGTTGTTCGCTTTTGTCTCACACGCCCTTCGCCA